CTGTTCAACTTCGGATCCGTACCGTAAGTTTTCTTTCTTCGTCTTCGCCGGCTGCGATGTGCGATTCCTTCATTTACCTGCTTCTTCTGTCATTTCGTTTTTCTATCATTAATTAGTTACTCTTCAATTGGTTAGGATATGGATATGGACATGGATTGTCGGGGAAGGATTATTCCCTCCGATTTCCTTTTTTTTTTTTTGTTTATACATCACAAATAAGTAAATCGTGTGTTGCTGCTCTGTGTGATCTCGTGATGTGTCGAATTTTTTTCTCACTGCATCTTTGCAATTTTTTTAATCTCTGCTCTGGTTTAAAACTAGAACAATACCTATTTGTATAGCATTATTGTATTGGTACTGTTGCTATTTCTATTTCCGGATGCATCTTTTTTTTTTCGGGATTTTTTTTGTTATTCGTAAATTTGTTTGCTGGTCAATGGATGGCGCTCTACTGTAGTTAGTTTATATATGTGCTTTATGATTTCTTGTAGGGCTATTGGTTGGAGTGTGGCATATTGTATGAACTCTAGCTTGCTTTCACCATGGAAAATCTACAGTTAGAGGAGACGAGTGGAGTGAATTCCCAAGGTGTTGAGAACTTGCGGGTGGATGATTTGGTAACTGATCAGAAGAAACAGTCAAAGGAGGCGGAGGGTCAGAATATTGATCATGATGGTCCCGAGTTTGATGATATATTAGATGCGGATGATGTAAGGTCTAAGAGGAACGACGAGAGCAGGGAATTGCAATCTCGAACTCAACTGGAAAACGTGGAAACCAAATCTGAAACTGAAATTATTACTGATAGGCAAGAGGATTCTGGTGATAAGACGAGTGCTGGTGGAGATTTGGAGTTCAGAAACCAAGAAACAAATCTAGATGGTAATTTTGGACGGAGTGGATTGGCTAAAGAAGTGGATGATAAGGAATCCAAGCAGATGTTTGATAAGTCAGATGAAATTCCGAGCGAGGACCCCAATTTGGAGCCTGTTTTTGATGGAACAGAGGTTCCAGGGATGGAAGCTAACCGCAGTATGTCTGGCCGTAGGTTGGATGCAGATCAGGACTCCCCAGGTGTGGTTGAGAAGGCTGTGGCTCTTAAGAATTTTGTTAAGGAGAAGAGTGCGGTGGCAGTCTCCACAATGATGCGTCGCCTTTCTGGAAAAAGAGATGAAGGTGCTGTGGACAATGTTGATGACGAAGGTAAGGATGTATCAGATTTTGGAAAAGTTGGTGAAAACAAACTGGTGTCTGAGAAGGCAGTGGAGAAATTTGACTGGAATCCCTTAAATTACATCAAGAAGTCATCCGATGCTGGTGTGGAAAACAAAACTGAGCAGAGAGATTCAATAGTCATGAAAGGAAGGATTATATTGTACACTAAACTAGGTTGCCAAGAATCTAACGAGATTAGGCTGTTTTTGCGTTTGAAAAGACTTAGATACGTCGAAATCAACGTAGATGTGTTCTCTGGTAGAAAGAAGGAGCTGGAGAGGATTTCTGGATCTACTTCTGTACCTAAGGTTTTTTTCAATGAAATACTTATTGGAGGCTCGAGTGAGTTGAAGACTCTAGATGAGTCTGGCAAGCTTGATGAGAAGGTTGACTTTCTAATTACTGAAGCACCATTATTTGAGGCCCCATCGCCACCTCTTTCTGGAGAGGATGATGTGCCGAGTGGTGGACTACCTGATGAAATGGCAATTATTGTCCGCAAAATGAAAGAATCCATAGTTGTGAAGGACCGCTTGCATAAAGTGCGCAGATTCACGAACTGTTTTCTTGGCTCCGAAGCTATCGACTTCTTATCAGAAGATCAGTATTTGGAAAGGCCAGAGGTAAGCTTGGTCTTAAGCCTGAAGCGTGGGTCTATTGCCCGTACACAACCCATCTATGACATATTGTATGCAGTTATATATTGCATAGTATTTAATCTTGCTATATTTTCAATCACACACTCAAATAAATCGTTCACCGAATTGCTAGTTTCATATGTCATTGCTATCTTCTAATTCTTGTCCGGTGGTATAGGCTGTTGAGTTTGCACGAAAGCTTGCCGAAAAACACTTTTTTCGACATGTTACTGAGTGAGTCCGTGTACTCTATTTGGTGTTTCTACTTTCCAATGTTTTAAGTATGTTTTGTCAGTTGTTAACAACTTTGATAATCCTTCCTGGTTTTCAATGGTTTTTGTTTTACTTTAGTGAAAACCTATTCGAGGATGGAAACCACCTGTATCGGTTTTTGGATGATGAGCCCATTGTGGTGTCACAATGTCACAACATTTCTAGAGGCATAAGCACCTTGAAGCCCAAGCCTTTACCGGAAATTGCGTCAAGACTAAGGTTTCTGTCCGGTGCAATATTTGAAGCCTATGCTTATGAAGAGGGACGTCGTCTTGATTATACTAGTATACATGGAAGTGAGGAGTTCGCAAGGTTTATTTAATGTTTTCTGTCTTCTGTCTTGCGTCGAACTGACATGTGCCCTGCAATGTTGATAATGCATCCATTGATTTCTTGAATTTCTGCTTATCATTTTAGGTATCTGAGAATTGTGGAAGAGCTCCAGAGAGTGGAAATATCGGATTCGTCTAGAGAAGAGAAGCTTGCGTTCTTTATTAATCTTTATAATATGATGGCCATCCATGCAATCTTAGTGTTGGGCCATCCAGATGGAGCACTGGAAAGAAGGAAATTATTTGGGGAGTTCAAATATGTTATTGGTGGGTCTACATACTCACTTTCAGCTATTCAAAATGGCATATTGCGGGGAAACCAGCGACCACCATATAACCTTAAGAAGCCATTTGGGGCAAAAGATACACGCTCGACAGTAAGCTTTAATACCTGTATTAGTAAATTACTAATAGCAACTTAAATATTTATTTTTCTATTAATAAATTATTTTTGTTATATTTTCAGACTATTCTGCTGTTTGTTACATATTCTTTCACCGTGAAATTACTAAAATAACATGCTTACTTAGGTCGTCAAATTTGTCAGGTGGCACTTCCTTACCCTGAGCCTCTAATTCATTTTGCTTTAGTATATGGTACCCGATCTGGGCCTGCACTTCGGTGCTACACTCCTGGAAAGATTGATGAAGAGTTATTGGATGCAGCCCGTAATTTTTTGAGAAATGGAGGCGTTGTAATTGATTCGAGTGCAAAGGCTGTAAATGCTAGTAAGATCCTTAAATGGTATGTTCTTTCAACCGAGGGTTTTGAATATGATAGATGAGATTTTTGGTAAATTTAAGCAAAGACTGCTCATCGAATATTTTTTATGTACACTACACATATTCTCTTGGCTAAAAGGCAAATCTTTCAAATTCCTTAGCTCAATGGTGTGAACAAAAAGTATTTTATGCTTTTAATTTTGTAAGTTTGGCTAGTGGCTAATCTCACATGTACTTATAGAATGCATGAAGGATCGGGCAGAAATGCAAACAAACTATATAATTGTGAAAATCCATTCTGATGTTTAATATTATTTTGTATGTAGAAGTTAAGTATGTACACGCGTTTACTATTATCAATGAAAAAAATAACGATAGTAAACATTGCTAAAATTAGGTGTTTATTTTGGATATATTCAAATCTGAAAATAGTTGTTTGTCCTTGTTCGGTCTCAGGTACAGTATAGATTTTGGCAAGAACGAGGTAGAAGTGATAAAGCATGTTTCAAACTACTTAGATCCAGCTGACTCTGAAGTATTGTTGGACCTACTTGCTGCGTCCGAGTTGAAGGTGACATATCAGCCGTATGACTGGGGTTTGAACTGCTAGCATGGGCTACCAAAGTTCTGTAAATATGCCTCATAGATTTATACTGATTTTCTATCATACAAATTACCACCAAAGTATTCAATGTCACCGTTTAACTTTTTCTGCCCATTTTACTCGTCTATGTGCACGAGGAAGACGAAAATGTTTACCTCCTAAATTTCTGTTCTATATGTACTGTCTTTCTAAAATTACATGTGCTCTTTAATGTTGATGCATGCAATTTATGATGGTTCATCATAACGTAATCTGTGAACTGAAGAGCTTGAACTCGTAATGCTTCTCAGGTGGCCATTTCTTTAGCTGCTGAAAATTAATGAGATGAAGCTGATGCTTACTAAGCAGTCCCCAAATATAAGCACCGGTCCTTAGAAATTGAGTCTCGTGTGCTCGTAGTTAATTAAATAGTGATAAAAATTAATGAGATGAGAATATTTGGAGATTAGATTGGAGAAATATGTATATCCATTTGAGAACCCCAAAAAATGGAAAATTTGAATTTGGGATGGATTGGATATGACCTTAATTCATCTAATATTTTTTACAAACCTCTTTATATTCAATGGTTTGAAAACAGGAAATAACTAAACAGGGCCTCAACTAGTAACAGAGTTGTTTCCCCTTTCCTTACAACAAATGCATTACCCCTTTCTCATTATCTGTAAAGTGGAATAAAAGAACTCAAGCAACGAATTATTATGTTAGTTCTAACTGGGAACTATTATGTAAACATGCAAAGACGGGCACTTCTTCCCTTTCAAAGTTGCTAGGAAACATAGTCAGTTCCTCGGTGGATATAAAGCACAAAGGCAAGGTTAGCCAATTTCCAAAATGGTGCGAGCGTTTAAGATAATCAAATTTTGCTTATTTGATATTTGGCAGTAAAAACGGCATTACAAAATCACAAATTCACGACCGAACAAAACCTGGCGGCTGTCTATGCAAATATCCAGCAGTGATTACCACATTTAATTTAATATGTAAATACAAGTTCATGTTTTAAATTGCTCGCACACTGTTCTTAGAGGTAAGGATCCAACAATGGTTGTACTGTATCCTACTTGGGAACCAAAGATCCTTCTCACCTCTCTGCTCATTCCATACTCAAGGAATATTTAAAAGGAGCTAGATTTTAGCTCTTTATGAGTTTTAATTCCTTCAAAACTGGTACAGAAAGCACAGATCATGACAAAAATAGTGAAATCCAACTGTGTAAATTTCCAATAAACGACGTTGTAGAAATGCTCCTGTATAAAAGATATTCAGCAATGTTTGGGCTGACAAAGTGGCCAGATATAACACGAACACATGCGTACTTCATGCCCTATTGTTATAACCAAAAATGGGCTTTGCAAATAAAAAGAAAGAAAAATTAAAATAAGGACTCAGGCTTTCTTGAAGAATGCAGACTGATCTGGATGATAATGGCCAGAGAATAATGCTTTCAAAGTTTTGCAGCTGTCCATGTTTTTTATTCATATTAAGCTGAATACCAGACAAAGTTAACCTGCAAGATAAATTTTGTAAAAGTTGTCATACAACCCTCTGGCCTTCTATACTCACGCAAGGATCCTTGACATATCAAACAGGTTTCTTTCTAGGTTATGCTGTTTTCTCGAGAATAATACACCAGTTGGATTTATCAAAAAACTGATCAACGATTCTAGCATTGATTATTCCAGCTGTCAAACTGCAAAAGGATGTGAAAGTAAGTTAGAAATGGGGAATCAAGCATCCTGCATATAAGCATGTCAAACATGTCAAACATAGTTCTGCATTATACTCTTTCAATTTTGAAAAATGAGTAGCAAGAGAATAAAAGGCCATGGTAAATTTGTCATAAACCTATAAAGGTCAAGTTGATTGATTAAAGCAGCAGAAAAGATACATGACGCACGACACTACTCACTTCAATCCCATCTTTTTTACTGTCAAACATAATCTATTGCATTTCTTTTTACATGTTTTTTATCTTCACCTTACCTTTATCAAGGACACGTAGCAACTCAATGCTTATGATAGAGGGAAAGGAAAATTACGATTGGACAACAAGCTAACGCTCTAGCAGCAATTTTAAGTTTAAAATTGAACCTTAAACAGGTTTTACCGAATGTAATATCTCCATCTCATGATACTTTGCTTATATAATCCATATTTCTAGATTCAGATGTAAAGTACGCTAATCATAGCACAATTGACATCCAAGATCAAGTTTACGAAACATGAAGCCTGAAGGGAGTAACTTCAGTGAAAAATATAGGAAAAAATAAATTTAAACCATGCTTTGTTACCTTTCAAGTTCTCCTTCACTAAAAACATGATAATATCGATTATACACCACAGCACCCTTTTTGTCATCTTTAGTTGCCAGACCAGCAGCAAGAGCATGAGAAGAAGCACCACTGATTTCAGCACGATGATAAGGTAAATGCCAGGGAACAAAGTATTCCTGTTGGTTCTTTATATGTTTTTCTTCCTCCAAATCTTTACATACATTTGACTCACTGCAAACTTTTATGTTCTCACCGGTGCTACTCTCCTCACTCTCAGGAATGCTTTCTAATGGCAAGGGTGAGGGTGTCCGAGCACGAGGACTCCCTGGTCCTACCCACTCTTCAACATACTTCTCAGTCAGTGGAGTCCATTTGGTAATTAGATTTGTATCCTCTTGCTCTACAGCCCAAACTGTAATCAGAACATGGCCACCCTTTTTAACAACTCTGACCAATTCTTCTATTGCTTTTCTCCTTCTACTTTCAGTGCTTAAGTGATGTAACACTGCTATTGATATAGCTGCATCACCAAAACCAGTTCTGTAAGGAAGATTCACAGCATCTGCCACCAAAACTTCATGCCCTCTATCCGAGCAGATTTTAATCAAGGAAGGACTTATATCACATCCTATGAAGAAACAATCCTGATTCAAACCTAGGTATTTCCCATTCCCACATCCTGCATCAAGGACAAGAGACCCCAAAGGCAAAGATGACAAAAATGATGCAACCTTCGGCCATTTGGCAAACCGAGTGGCACTGAAATGCGGAGCAATAGCATCATATACATGATGAACGAACTTCTTTTCTATTTCAGGGGTGGATTGTACACTCATAGATGAAGTAGTACCGTTCCCAGTGACTGATAAGGAATCTGTAATGGAGGGTTCCTTACTGGGGGCAATAGTACACAAACTAGAATCCCCTATACAATTGATTTGTTTCATTGAACTAAATGCTAAATGACAAACAAAATCAACAATTACACTGGTCAAACCAAGGGCTTCTCTACGTGGATTGAAGAATCTACTTGTTTTTAGAACACTATGAATCATTAACCGGTCAGTGTGGCAGAGAGCACCTGCACAAAAAGCAATTTTTTTTGCAAATGATATCTTTCATTTATTGTATAAAATCTATAAATAACCCAATAGTGATTCATTCATATTCATATACAAATAAAAAAACCCAAAACCAAAAGATGCAAACTTGTAATAATATAACCAAATGGGAAGATGTGAGAAAAGTTAGGTCAGAATCATCAAAACTAGAAAGAGACCGAGGCTTAAAACTCCAAACTTAGAGGAAAAATATTGCTTACCAGCTTACAGAAGGGCTCGTGAATATATAAGAAAAGTGATTAAAGTTTTTCATGAAAAATGAGAGACTAAGAGAATCCTGAAGCAACGAACATCGTCGGTGGTTGATGCTTGTTTTGAGTGAATGGTGGCCGAGACCCGACAACACACTCCCAAAACCCGGTTTGTCAAATTTGGTCGGGTCTAAGGAATATAAACCCATGGTTCTTTGCTTAAATCTTAAGAAAAATTACTTCTATTTAATAATTATTTTGAAAATTTACGTAATATTTTTTTTTAATTTAGTTAAAACAAAAATGCTTTAGATGGAATACTTTTTAAGGTTAAGTTGTTTTCTCAAAACTGGTTATTAAAGCTTGTTTTAATCAACGGAGGCATTAAAAAATGTTTTTCTTTCTACTGTTATTCATTGGAATTTATACAAATTTTCAAATGTTTTCACCATTTTTATACATTTGACAGGTATTCTGAATTTTGTTTATTTTAACAATTAGCATAGGCTAGATGGAAAGTCTTGGTGAAAGAGGATAGAGAAGTCTCAAACAAAATTTTGAATATTTAGCCTTCCTTTGTTTGGTGTTGAAAAATCAATTTTTTCATACATACTTTTCAATAAAATACACATTATAAAACAAATGTATGATTAGTTTAGAACAAGTCTCCACTGTGTTCAACACTTTCAAGTTAATTAGATTAAAAGTCAATTTTATTTAACTTTAAAAAGAAGTGAACCCTCGTTTATAACTACTAATTTTAGTGATTTTTTGTTTACTTGATTTGTCTTTTGTATCATCTACTCTGATACTTAAGCCAGTAGTCCGTATGGAGTCAGAGCAATAATATTAAATACACAGTAAATGTGATTGTCTATTTCTAATGTTTGACTTTTATTTACAATTATTGAAATAGATCTAAGATTAACAAAATCTTAATCATTTTCCGACATCAGCTCATTATACTAATTAATACTTACATGTAAATATGTTTCTTAATGTCTCTTTAATGAGAATGTTTTTGGGATAAAACATCCAACATCTATTCATAAGAGATCGGACGAGTCTTAAGTTTATTTTGGCTTCGTCTTAAGTATCTACTAAGTTGAGTCGTCTCTCTCTTGACAAACATCCGACCATACGGGTACAATAATTTTTTTCTATATTAATTTCGAGTATATATATATATATATATATATATATATATATATATATATAAATCAATTCATGCGTAATATAACCT